TACATCAATCTGGGTTGGAGGTTGCTTTACTTTAGGGCTTGACATACTTCACTCCAAGCCCTCCTTGACTTGAGTGTGTGTGTTGAGAAGTCTACTGCAATTTTGATGGGCTTTTCTTTATAGGTGATTTGTTTCTTTTCTCTAACAGCTAATATTCTATTTGTGTGTTGAATTTCTGGAATCTTGACTGTTACAAGCCTTGGGGAGGATTTTTTTTGATCATGTCTAATTGGGGTCCTATGTGCCTCACTTATCTGTATGTCAAATTCTTTTTCTCTGTTTGGGAAATTTTCTGCCATTATTTCTGAGAGTAGGTTTTTTATGTCATTTGCACTATCTCCTGCTTTTTCATTGACTTCAGTCAAACTTATATTATTATTCTTTGGATCGTGTAGCAGCTGCTGGATTGGTTTCTCATGGTCCCTTTTCCTTATTGCTAACCACAATCCTGTCTTCTATATCTGATATTCTACCCTCACATTGGCTCATTCTGCTGTGTATACTTTCAATGGAGCTTTTAATCTCCTGGTTATCTGCTTGAATCTATCTCATGGATTTCATTTCTTTCCTATGCTGGATGTTTGTGGCTTCCATCACATTCCTGAGCTCCTCTATTTTCTTCTCTGTATCTTTCATTCTGGTCACTCATCTCGCCATTTCTGCTTTGATTTTTTTCTAGAGCCTTGTTCATCTTCTTTGTTACTTCTGCTGTTACCACTGCAGAGAGTCCAGGTAGGTGGCTTTGGGATTTTCCATCTCATTGCCCCCAGAGTTTGCTTTTGGTGAGCTGAAAGTCTGTGGGGTTGCATCTTGTTCAAGTATCTTCTCATTTTCTATTTTTTAAGTTTGATTCCTGAGTTGATGCTTATAAATTGCTTATGGTGAGTAGCTTTATTGCCAGTATTCAGAAACCTTAAGAAATGACTACTTCTAAGAAGCATCTTCCAGGTGTAGTTGGCTTTTGGGTTTTGAGTCTGTTCCAGCATCCTACCTCTTCAATTTATTGGGAATGAGAAGTTTCTGCCTACTCAGCCTAGCTGCCAGTTCTTTGGCACTGGCCTGTGGATCTTCCTTTTTCCTTAAGACTCTTAGGCAATCTCAGTCTTGGTACACCAGGAGGAACAACTGATTAGCACAATTTTGTCACCTTGGCTAAAGTAGTATAATCAACAATGACAATAGCATTGCCGGGAATTTAGCTCAGTGGCCCCTTGACTGCCTAGCAAGTGCAAGGTCCTATGTTTGATTGCCAGTACTAAAAAAAAAAAAATAGCATCAAATACAGCCTAGGAAATGACAAATTATAGCCGTTAATATGGCTTTTTTACCCTTAGGGGAGAAGATCTAAAAGGAGTTAGGGAGTAAGAAACAAAAATAAAAGAAGAGGAAGAGGTCAGAGGCAAGGCTGGAGGACAAACTCTAGAAGACTGGTGAAGAAGACAGGTGGGAAAGAGAAAAGGAAAAAATAAAAACAAGAACAGAACAAAACAACAATAAAAAACTAGAAACTGTGTTCAAACAATAAAAAAACAAGAACCAGAAAATAGGAAAAACAGAAAGAAAAAAAAGAAAAAGCCCAGAAGCATCCAGTTCAAAGTGTGCCTCTGCTGTCACTGTTAGGCAATGTGGGCAAACAGAGTCCAGAGCCGAATTGATTAATCCCAGCAAGTTAGCTGCAGCTTCATGGTGGGGTAGTGGGTAATCCCAGCCAGCTGCCCCTTTAGTTCCTCTGAAGTTCAGGCTGGTTTCTGGCTATGTGGCTGGAACCAGATTCTTTGAGCCTGCAACAGTCTGTGTGTCTCCTGCTGACTTGAACTCTGCTCCCTGACCTCCTGCTGACTTGAACTCAGCATCGGTAGGGAGGCACCTGGAGCCACTAGAGTCTGCCCACAGCTGTTCTGAGTTCCAAACTCAGTTGGCTCCCCTCCAAGATGGCTACCGGCCAATCACCCTCTCCTGGGTGAGGTCTGAACCCAGATAACTCACCAGAAACTGCAGTCAGATTCATTCACTGCTCCACTCCACCTGTGCATTTCTCTGTGGAGGCCTCTGGGGTAGTCAGTGGTCACTGTGGGTCTGCAGTTTCGGCCCGACATTCCCTCGAGGAGAGGCTCTGGGAGGGAGCGCTGCTTGGTACCTCCCTCCTCTTCATTTCAGTCATTCTCTTCACTCTCCCTGTGCACTTCAGTTCTCACCTCAGATCCTTCCCGGGTCTTGGGAACCCACTCCCCGTCCCTCCTTCTCCACCCCCCCCCACTGCTGTATTCCAGTGTAAGGACACCAAATCTTGGAGACGCTCTTTCTCTGCTCCACTCCGCCATCTTCCCAGAAGTCTTGAAATCCAAAACTTTTAAAGGGTGATGTAAGACTAGCAAATGTTCCAGAGTCAGGCGGAAGCATCTGTACCCTCCAGCATTTGGGAGAGCAGGTCCCCAGCCTGCACTGTCACTGGAGTTAGTGCCCCTCACCTAGCTCCATACTTATTCCATCAGTGGCTGTGAGTCTATTTCCGCTTCTGTTTCTGTCTTGGCCTCATGTGCTGTGCAGCATAAAGTCTCTGGGGTTTGTGCCGTCTCCATAGCCTGTCCCTGTGGAGTCGCCTTCTTTGGTGGCCCTCACACTAGCATCCACTTCCCGTGGCCTCAATGCAGTGGCGCTCGTGCCATGGCTGCTGATGCCTGCTGTGTCTTTATCTTTCCTTTCAAACCTGTTTGTATCTTTCCATTAAAGCATCATTTTGCAGGCGGCATGAAGTGGATCTTGCTCTTTTTTCTTTTCTCTTTAGCACGCTCTGCCTTTTCACAAAAATGGCTCTGCCATTCACATTTAGGGCGATTATTGCAGCAGGAAACCCAGAGTCACCACTTGGCTAACGTTTAGTTTGCCTCGGCTGTCTCCCCTGCATACTGTATTTCCGTCTTGCTTGAGTTTAGGATTCTGTTGTGCCTATTGCTTATCTGTTAAGAGACTTTTGCTGTCTGGGGGCTGTGTTAAGGGCTACAGAGTACATCTCTTTTTTTTCAGTACCAGGGCTCGAACTCAGGACCTTCCACTTGCTAGTCAGGCACTGTACCACTGAGCTAAATCCTGAGCCCTACAGTGTACATCTTTAACTTACCACAGATACTTTCGAGTGGCTTCCATGCCCGTGTATCCAGTGTACATTCACGTGGGTAGTGTTCTCCAGATACATCGTTAACTTTGATGAAAAGACCACTTACCTTTTAAACAGGAAAAGTATCCATTTACCCACAGTTACTAATGCCAGCTTTCTCATCCTTGCTGTACATACACCTGGTATTATTTTCCCTCTGCCTGTAGAACTTACTCTAACTTTTTTTTCCTCCGCAGTGCTGGGGATTGGACCTAGGGCCTTTGCACTGAGCTATGTACCCAGCCCTTTACTTATTCTTTGAGACAGTTGCCCAGGCTGGGCCTGGTTCCTCCTGCCTCAGCCTCCCAGAGTGCTGAGATTACAGGCAGAGGAAAAGCTGCTCGAGCACGGTGATCAGGAAGCTAAGGGAGAAGGGAGGAGCTGGGGAAGGCATCGCACCCGCCCTTCCAGGCCACGCCCCAGCCTGCCTGCCTCCCAGCGCCACCTTTAGCGTGTGGAGTGCAGCGCAGTGGTGCATTCACCGTCCCCGCCCCGGAGACTTTGTGGGACACCCCAGATGGAAACCCTAACACACACTGTGGTCTTCATCTCCAGAAGCTCACCTTTGATCTTCTCTCACACCTTCTGCATCGGCATCACTGCTGAGCACTGCACACGGTGGCTACGGTAGCTTCCCAGCACCCTTGACGAGGATTCTGGCGCCTGGTGTCGGAGCCGCCTTCCTTTCAGCCTGTCCGTTCTCCTCCAAGGAGCCCATGCTTGGTGTCCGTGCCCCATGACTTGGCCTTGCTGGGTGCCAGACACTTTGTACTCCTATAAGTCTTCCCAGGCTTTGGTCTGGGCAGAGCCGAGTCCCTTGGACACAGTCCAGCCCTTCTGCCCCAGTCTGTGACAGTGACACGGGGCTGGAGAAGAGCTTCACCCCGTTGCTGCAGTGAGGCCTCCCAAGAGCCCCGGGCTGTGGCTTCCGGGCCTCTGAGCCCAGCACCCCCGGGCGCTCCCTACTCTGCTGCTCTGCCCTCCGGTCTGAACTCCGGCCCTGTGTCCTGCGCCCCCAGGTTCTCACCTCCATTTCTTCCACTCAGGGAGTTCGTGTGGCAGCCCTGGGTCTGAGCGACCCCGAAGCCACCTCAAGTGGGCACCTGGGTCTGCTGCTTGGTCTGTGTGTGTCCTTCATTTGCACAAACCTAGTTGATTCCAGTTCCTCTGAGCCTGAAAGACCTCGAGCCCATGTCGGCTCTGGAGTCTCAGGCTGGCTCTTCTGCTCCTCCTCTTCCTCCTCACCCACTCGGGCACAGCCACCCTACCTCCACCCACCATGCCATGCTGTCCCCGAGAGCCACCTCTCACTCCCTGCCAGGTCCCCAGGGGCAGGGGCAGGGGGCTCTGAGCATCTGCACCTGGCAGTTGGCCCTAGAGATGTGTGCCACCCACAGACACGTGCAGCACCAACCGTGGGCCAAGCCCTGTGTGGGTACAGGCAGGGTGGAGTGAGGGTGGGGCTGGCCCTGCGGTCAGGATGGCAGGAAGAGCAGCAGTGGCCCCCGGGGACCACAGTTGAGAGAGGCCTTACCATGGGCACCCAAGTCCCTGGCCAGCACAGTGAGGACTCCGAGAGTGTGGGCAATCAGCCAATTTAGGGGGACCAGGGCCCAGAGCTGGACTTTTGGAGTCCAGGGCTCAAGAAGGGGTAGAAGTACTGCTGAGAGGGTCCCAGAGATCCTGGCCCAGGGCAAAGCCACTGGCCGATGTTGACCGTGGTCGTGCTGAATTACAAGCAGAGGTCACAGGGACTGTCCCATGAGGTCCCATGAGGTCCCATGAGCCACCGTGCACCTCCACAGCCCCGCGGCTCCGGACTAAATCCCTGATTCTCTCCTGGAAGGCGAGAGTGGCCGGGTCCTGCGGATCTCGGCGGGCGTCAGACACGTGCAGCCCCCAGCCCTGTCTGAGATCAGCTTCTTCAAGGCGGATGAGGGGCACGGGGAGAAGCCTTTCGAGACCCCATTGTGAGTAAGGGTGACGCTGGGGCGCCACGCGGCGGGGGCAAAGGGTGCAGGTGCCTCTCCAGCGGTGAGGAGGGCAGGACCCAGGGGCCCCTGGGCTGCCTCGGCCAGGGCCGCGCCCACACGTCCACCCCACAGGACCAGTGCCCGCCTGGGGAGGCGAAACAAAGGCGGCCTGAGCCGGCAGGGAGGAGGGACAGAGGGGCTGCCCCAGGTGGTCCCAGCCCAGCAGGCAGTGGGGAGCCCTGCAGCCCCTGAGGGGCTGGACAGTGATCCCTGACACCTCGCTGAGGCCGGCTATAGTCGGGGCGTGGACTCTCGGCCCGGCTATGCCAGCCCCACCATGGTGCTGCTTCCTTGCCAGTGGGTTCCGGTGCCTCTCCTACCCTCTGGCCTGCCCCACTTCACTGCGGCCGGGGCCCAGGGCTGCCGTGGAACGTGCTGATACCAACTCACCACTGTCCCAGGGAGAGCCCGGCCCTGCCCTGGATTCTGGGGCCGCCCATGGCCAGGGTGATACCCCAGGTCACCTGCGAGGTGAGTAGGCCACAAACCGGCAGGGGAGGAACCCCGGGAAGGAGGGCCAGGTGGGGAGCAGGCAGGACGGTCCTCGGCTGGCAACCAGGTGGTCCAGCCTGGTGGCCCAGCAGTGGGGCTCTCAAGGAGCGCAGGTGGGGTGCAGCCCCCAGCCCCATGGTGGGATCCGAGTGCCGTGCCCTCCCTTCTGGGCACAAACTGCATGGCCTCTCAGGTCAGGAACCAAGCCAGGCCGGCATGAGAGCTGCAGCCCCACACCTGGTGGGCGGCAGACACAGAGCCAGGAGCAAGGTGCCTTCCACGCAGGGTGACAGGTGCCAGGCCTGGCGGGACGATGTCCCTGCTGATGGCAGAGGCACCCAGGTCTCAGGCCCACTCTCCCACCTGGCTCCTGGTTCCCACCACAGAACCCATCACCCCTCTGTCCTTCACCGGCCCCCTGCAGCAATCTGCCCCGGCTGCCCTCCCGCGGCCCAGGTCGTCAGTGCCGTGGGCCAGCCCTCTGAGGCCTCCCGATCAGGGCCTCGCAGCCCTCTCTGCAGAGGAGGGGCTGGTGGTCACTGGGCACATGGTGGGAGAAGGGAGGGAGGGACAGCAAGGTGTCCTCTCGGCCTCAGTGGCTGGGATCCCCTTCAGGGGGCCTGTGTCCACTCACCTCCCCCATCCCAGAAACCTGCCAGAGAGTGGCCAGGCCAGACCCAGGCGGGCCAGTCCTTCCGGGGAGCCTGGCTCTCCTCTGGGGAGGATTTGTCTGCACAGCAGTCCTGAGAAAAGCAGCCAGAGGATGGATTATTCCTCCCACAGAAGAGTGGGCTGTGGGCTGCAGGCCCCAAATGGCCAGGTGGCTGGTCTCGGGGTACAGGGTGGGACCTGGTCCGATCCCCTTTGTGTCCCCCCGGATTTACAGCAGCAGTGTCATGCTGTGTCGGTGGAATGATCCTCATGTCTCTGTGTAAAAATACTTGCTGGGCGCTGCACCTTCCGCTTGGAGAGTTTCAGACCCAAGGTTGAGATGGAAACCAGTGGGGAGTGCGGCCCTCGCCCCTCACCCCAACACTGAGTGCCTCCCTCGAGCACCCCGCGGGGCTCAGCCTGGGCCTTGTCTTTTGGATTCAGGAGCCTCTTGGGCCCTGTCTTTTGGATTCAGGAGCCTCTTGGGCCCAGGCCCCCAGGGCTTCCAAGTGTGGGTCCCTCCTGGGGCCACCAGGCCTGGGTTCCCTGTCGGGAGGGCATCTGCTGCCCACCGGGTGCATGGGCAGACTCTCCCTGTGGCCCTCCTGACCTCTCTGTGCCTCAGTTTCCTCTCTGTGAAGTGAAGTTAAAGAACCCCATCCCTGGGCTGGGCTGGGGTTGTCTGGAGGCAGGGACCCCCTAGGCTCCCACCCTGTCCATCCAAACTGAGAGGAGGCAGCAGACAAGGGCCGGCGCTCCCGGGCCCCTCCTGGGGATCTCTCTCGTGGGTGCTGTGGGCAGGGAGGACGCTCTGTCCTGTCCAGGGCCTGACCCGTCCTGTTGACTAGGGCCCCAGGCAGGTGGTGGGGCCCCAGCACTCCGCAAAGGCAGCCCAGTCCCCACACCCAGGCTGGAGTGCCAGTCACCATGGCAACTGAGTCGTCCACCAAGCCCGGACAAGAACGGAGTGCAGCTCAGAAACCTTCAGGCCCGGCATCTCGGAGGCCAAGTACAGGACGAGTGTGCACACAGGCAGTGGCTCAGGGGCCTGGCAAGGCTCCGCGCCTCCCGGCGGCCAGGGTGGACGTGCCGCGGTGCAGGTCTCTCTCCTGGCCGCTCTTCTTCCTCACATCCCCACAGGGACCTACGCAGCCTCCCACTTGCAAACCCTGGCCCCGCCAAACTGCTTTCCCTCCTATAACATTCAAAATGAACTTTCCCTCCAGTCCTGTTTCCCCGGAGCGAGCCTGCCCTGCACCTGGGGGGGATGACGAGCCCCACACAGTGCCTGGGCACCCACCTGTGCCCATCCAGCCCAGGACCCTTCAGACAGCTGCAGAGGTTCAGCTTCTCGCTTGAAAGTGCCAGACAAGGAATACACTTCACTGAAAAGCCATTGATCCCTCCTGGCTGGGAGGCCTGGAGTCGCCTGGGCCAGGAAGCCCTGTTAGAGACCCAGCCCCAGCTACCCTAGTTTCCAGGCAGCTCTGGGAGCCCTCTGCTCCCCAGGAAGGGGCTCAGACAGCATGGCCACGCCCCTCCTGCGGACTGATGCTGACCCTGGGCCCCATGCCAAGCGCCAAGTGGGAGCTCCTGACCAGCCAGGCAGCCTCGGCGTTTCCTTCCTCTCCCAGCTGGAAGAACATGGAGCTTGGACTCCGAAGCAGCTCTGCACATGCAGAGAGAGAAATCTGGATTGTTTCCCAGCAGCAGCCAAGCAGGGACCCATCCCTCCACCGGGTCCCTGAATGGCTGAGGAGCTGTATTTGAGGCCGGGCAGCTCTGCACCCCCAGGAGAGGGCCAGGTGCCCACACCCACATGCGGGCAGGGCCCACCCAGCTTGCCACCCGCATGGGGGCAGGGCCAGCAACCAGAGCACATCAGCTCACCAGAGAGGGCCAAGTGAGGCTGGACACAGACGTGGCTTTCCCTGCCAAACCCACTTAGGATGACTCTCTGGGCAGGGGGCCTAAGACCTGCAGAAGCTGTGCATCCAGTGCCCCTCACCCAGGCACCAGGCACAGCAGTCAGGATGAGCCCCACGCTGGTCAGCCCCTGTCCAGCAGACCTGAGGTGGCGCAGGGCTGACACAATGCCTGCTGAGTGCACCCTTATCCTAGGCAGACTGTGTGCATAGGACCTGCTTTTAGCAAACACCAAAGTGGCTTCAGCCCCATTCATGTTTGCTTCTTTACACAAAAGCCCAGAGGGGTGGGGAGGCCCCCTTCTCCATCTCTCTGGACTCAGTTTCTGCTTCTTATTTGGCTACCCTGTCATCTTCCTGTACTACTTCATGGTCCTGGGTGGCTGCAAAAGCTCCAGCCATCAAATGCCTATCCCACCTGGCAGGAAGGAAAAACCTAAATGGCAGAACTTGGCCACATGGAGGTAAAAAGTGCAATGTGCCTATAAAAACAGGCTTTTGCCATCCAAAAAAAGGAGAAGAGATACTGGCTGTGTTTGCCAAGGAAGGTACACCTCCTGGGCCTGCCCAGTGAATGCTTGAAACAAAAACAGGAACTGTGGGAGCTGGAGACTGAGCCTTGCGCTCCCTCCACGTCAGAGGCTGTCACCTGTGACCCCGTGACCCCGCTCACAAAGCCGCTGTGAGCAGCCCTGGCCGTGGCTCATGCCCGTCCCCAAGTGGCACTGGCCTTGGCCTTGGCTCAGCGGGGCGGGGTTGACCTGCAGCCCTGCTCCTGGTCTGTGGTGCTGGGGGGCTGGGGGGCTGCAGGACTCCGGGACCGGCCTCGTGGATGGCCCAGCACCTCCAGTCTCGCGCCTCTGAGCCCTGGAGCCTTTGTGGTCACGGCGCCTTCAGCGGGGCTGCGAGATCGGAGGTGGAACGGGCCAGCCGCCCATGGAGAGCCGCGCGCTGCCTGAGTCAGACCTAAAATTAAAGTGAGCGGGAGGTGGTGGGCACTGAGCAGTTATCGATGTTTCAACGCATTCCTGAGCCCGGTGCCAGCAGCCAGGCTGGATGGGGCACGGCCGCCTGGTGCCCAGGACGGTGGCAGGAGGTGGCCACGCAAGGAGGCTCGTGGAGCCACAGCCCCCGGGGGTCCGGCCGCCGCGCAGCTGACCGTGACACAGGGTTTCCAGCATCACCGAGGTCCCGCGGCAAGTAGGGAGCAAAGCCCCCAGAATTCGCCTTTCACTTCCACCGGAGTCAGATGGAGAGAGGCCCCGTGTCAGTGATACGTAACTGCAAAATGCACATTTCGGTATTCTGTTGATATGAAATATTTGACTTAACTTTACAATAGACGATTTGCATTTCGTGGAGAAGGAAAGACGACCTCCCAGACGTGGACCGTCGCCAGATATTCCAAACCCTATTTTGAATAAATTACAGCACCCAGATTTCAGCAACAAAGCACATTGATTTTACATTCAGGAGCATTTTTATATTTAGTCTCCTAACCTTTTGTGATTCCCACCCACGGCTCAGCAAGCAGAGCCTTTGTGCGCCCCGTTCCTAGCGGGGCGTCTGCCTCAGCCCTGTAATTCAACCCCATTGACTCATGGAGCAGGTGCCTGCGATGGCGGACAGCCGCGTGGCCCAGGCTGGCCCTGCACATGGGATCTGGGGACCCGGCGGAGCCACAGCAGCGAGCACAGTCACACTGCTTTTCCTCTCTTCCTTCTCCACTGCACAGAACCCTCCCCTCGAGTGTTTCCTGTTGGCCTGAGTGGTTTCTCCTTTTCATGTGTTGGACAAACGAATTGGAGTAGTCATGAGACGGGACCCAGGAAGAGCCAGCCGTTATGGTACGATGATTTAGAAGATCAAGGTGCCCTCGGCTGCTAATTCAGTCTTGCCAATAAAAGTGGAGGGATGCATAGCAGGGGCTCCTGGAGATTTCAGCGCCCTGTGGGGCAATACCACACTTCAATACTAATTGTCTATAGCTAATTATGGCAGGGCAGCACCAGAGAGCCATATTTGTTAAAGGAAGCTTGTGCTATAAATTCCTTTTCCGGGAATCATCTCATACAGAGGGGACGTCCCAGAAAAATACAGTATAAAAAGACATCATGTTGCTTCCAATGCCAAAACAGTGGATAAAAATGGAAATTTGCTCAGATATCAGGGTGAGATTCTGTCCGAACGCAGCTGGGGGCGTGGGGTGGGGTGGCGACCTGGCAGGGGTGCCACCCCTTCAGGAAGGTGGCTGGAGGTGGGGTGGGAACCCGTGACTGGCGGGTGATCCCCGCCTTCTCGGGGCTCGGCCTGCTCTGTGGGGAACAGCTCTCTCATGCTTGTGTTTTGAGACCGGCCCCTCCATGTGCCCAGGCTAGCCTAGAACTGCTCTCCAGGGTGCTCCGCCTTGCCCACAGTGGCTCTGCCCCGGCGCTGCTGCCCCTGACCGACACTGTGTCCCACTGACCCCTCCTTCCTGGGGCCTCTCCTGCTGGGTTGTCCCTGGCACCCCAGCCCCCCGCTGTCCGAAGCGGCTCACTCCTAAAAGCCATGAGGTCCGGTGAGTGAGGCTGGGGCAGGGCAGAGGATGGAGAATGGTGAGGCGAGCCCTGCACCCTGGGGCTGGGGAGGTGGGGCCACGGGCCCCAGGAGCGGTGACGGGTCCCTGCAGGCTGGAATCCGAGGCGAATGTGAGCCGTGCGCATCACAGACGAACACTGACTTGGTACGCGCATCTGTGCCGTGCAGCTCCGACGCAGCTGGGCAGCGACCCCAGCAACAGGAGTGGCTCCAGCGCAGGGTCTGGGTCTCCCGAGGGGGCTCTGGGGGTCTCAGAGCATCTGTCACGGGCAGGGCGGGACTTCAGGCCACCACAGGGCAGGCCTGGGGCAGTGTGAGCATCAAACACAGTGGGTTGGGCTGGGGATTTAGCTCAGTGGTTCTGGCGCCTTCCTCGCAAGTGCAAGGTCCTGAGTTCAATCCCCAGTACCAAACAAAAACAAAAACAAAAACACAGTGGGTGACTGGGAGCAGGGTCCGCTGGACAAGCTCAGAGCTCAGCAGGGCTGCTGTATGTCATGGGTCTCAGGAAGAGGGACCCCTGGAGCCTGGCAGACGCCTCTACCGTGGTGCTCCTGCAGGCCGGGTGCCCCAGCAGCACCACGACCCCCCAGTGGCCTCATAGGACCTCAGCAAGCCCAGCGTTGGGACCCTCCCCAAGGCCTGGCCTACAGCCTTCAGAGGCATGGGGTCCCACAGTCAGGGACCCGCGCAGGACGCCGGGTACCCAAGAGCCCAGCAGCTCCGCCTGGGCTGTGTCTCCCCAGGGGCTGAGCAGGGACCACAGAGCCCAAGGCAGACAGACCCTGTCCCCTTGGCCGCGGGGCTGGGCAGGGGCCTGGGTGTGGCTGGAAGCCGTCCGCTGGGGGGTTTGTGAGCTGCACCTCGGCGTTTCTGCAGATTAGAGGGGTGCGCGTGTGCGTGCGTCTGTGTCTGTATGTTCTGGGGCCCAGGGCCGTGTGAGCCGGGCCAGTGCTCCGCTGCTGTGCTGCCCCCCTTGGCCTTCCTCGGGGCTGCGTGGCACCGCCATGCCTGGGCCTGGGCCTGATGCCGGTGGTGCCAGTGCCCACGGGTCTCCCTCCATCTCGGCTGCCTGAGTGGCCCAGTGCAGGCCTGGCAGGAGTCAGGCCCTTCCAGGCCCTCAGCTGGGTGCTGCAGCCATGTGTGCCCTGTGGTGTGGCCTTGGTGGTCCCACATGCCCCTGCGCTGTCTGTGGGTAGAGCTGGCGGGCTCAGGCAGGCGCGGGCAGGGCAGGTGTGTCGCTGTGAGGCCCTCCGGTGGGCAGGGCAGGGCTGCCTCAGAGTCCACCGCCTGCTGGCCAGGCAGTGCCTGCCTTTGCGCCCTCAGCTGCCCGCCCGGCTGGCTCGGCCTCCATCGGGAGCCTCCCACCTGGGCACCCAGTTGTCACACTCACCAGCGGCCTGGGCCTGGCCTCCGGGCGGTGTGCACTGGTCACCGAATCTGTTCAGAGCCCCGTGGCCTCTGTCTCTGTCAGCCACCGTGATCCCTGTGTCAGGCTGGGCCCGGCAGGCAAGTGCAGGTCTCAGGTTCCAGGCACTGACGAGACTCAGGGGCCGTGGGGTGGCGGCGCCCACCGGGAACAGGTGCCTGGGTGCCATGGTGTCCCCGAGGGCCTGGCCGAGCTGTGCTGTGTACAAACAGCTTGGCTGGGGGGCTCTGGAGTGTGTGGGGGTGGAGAAGGTGGGCTGCAGGGGCTCCGGGGCGCTGGGCCTGGCCTGGGTGTGGAGTGATGGCTGCCCCTCGGCAGAGGGAGACCCGCATGGGTGCAGCACCAGCAGGGGTCACAACCATGCCTTGGGGGCGTGAGGCCCCTGGTTCCCAAATGCTCGGGGCCCTGGGCAGATGGAGCTGCGGCTTGGGGTCACATCTGTGTCCTGGGCTCGGGCTCCAGAGGCCTTTGGCCACCTGTGGCTCTCACCAGCCTCTGCCTGGGGCCCCTGATCCTGAGCCCTGACTTGGAGACACATCTGGCCCACCCACTGCTGCACCCACTGGTCCTTGTTCTCACCAGGAGACTCACCTCTGGAAACTAGAATGGAAAGTCTTCTATAGACCAGCTGTTGCCGGGAGCGCACCTTCGTCCCAGCCTCTGGAGAGACTGAGGGAGGAGGCTCTCAAGTTTAAGCCCAGCCTGAGCATCGTAGCAAAGCCTTATTGCAAAATAAAATAAGGACTGAAGTGCTGCTCAGGGGTGCAGCCCTTGCCTAGCATGTGGAGTACCCTGATTCCATCCCCAGTGCTGCCAAAGGAAAAAGAAAAAGCCAAGCCCGGCCCAGGTGGGGCAGGGCTCGGTTAGGGGTGGGGTGGTGTCCCTACTCCTGAAGTCTGTATCTGGAGCCCCGGCTGGTACAGCCTCTGCGGGTGCTGGCAGGCTTATGGCACCTGTATGAGAGCTGGCCTTGCTGTCCCTGCCTGTAAGTGGGCAACAGTCAAGGGTCCAGGGTGTGCAGGCTGCGTGCAAAGAGCCCAGAAAAGGCCTCCGTCCACAGCGGGGAGCCCAGGCACCCAGAGTGCAGGGACCACGTGTGTGGGGAGCATGGGCCTGCATTCCCCAGGCTGGAGGGGACATTGCCAGCCAGCCCTGGCCACCACGGGGGCAATGGGCCCTGGGTAAACCAAGGGAGCCCTGGCCAGGCTGCCCGGGAGCTCCCACCCCCTGCACGGAGCTTGAGTCCTGCCACACGTGCGCCCGGGGTGGGGCAGCTCCGCATCCCTGGTCCCTGCCGCCGGCCTCCACAACACAGCTCCTTGCCTAATGGAGCCCCCACGAAAACTAATGCACTGTGTCTGGTCACCTCCAGCAAGGCCATTGCCTGCCCCACAGGGCCAATAACAGTTTAGTTTTTTGAATTCACTTAAATGGAGAAAACATCTCCGGCTGCGGCTTGGTCACCTCCTGGCAGGTCCTGGCCCAAGGCGGCCGTTTCACGGTGCCAGCGGCCCTCAAGTCCTTGTTTATCCAGCAATTTCTCCACCTCCTGCCTTGGTGTCCTACACAGGTGATTAGGGAGTCTAATTGGCTCGGCTGTAAAAAGATAATTAATTGACATTTCCCTCCTGGAGAGGTCAGGCTGCCCAAGCTCCAGGCCCCTCCCGGGTGGCACTAAAACCTTCATCTTGCTGATAAAGCTGTAAGTGGTAGAATTAGAACCGACAGGAAGGCTTTGCAGTCACTGGGAGCTGAGCCCCGTCCCCCGAAGGCCTGGGGTGTTGCCTGCCCAGGCTGAAGGCCCTGTGGACTCCCGGGTGTGGCCCAGCCTGGTCCCAAGGCTTCTCCACTGCCATCTTCCCTTGGGGGTCGGACTGCAGGCCTTGGGGGGTGCGGGCACCCCAGCTCTTACTGGGCCTTTTCTTCTTGCTGGTTTGGCCTGATAGGACCAGGGTTGCAGACAGGGTGGACAGGTGAGGAGAGCCCCGGGGGGCATAGGATCCACAGCCACATCCACCCTGGACACCTTGGGGACAAGCCGGGTGCACAGCTGGGGACGGGTGAGGCAGCAGCAGTGGCAGGGCTGAGAGAGGCCCCGGGGGGCTGCTGGCTCCGAGGAAGAGGTGGGAAGGGTGAGCAGCACGGGCAGGGGGCTGGGGCCCAGCTGTGACCTCCTGGGCTCCTCGGGCAGGGCAGGCCCCTGAGGTCGGAGGGGCAGAGCAGGGCTGAGGGCCTGGAGACCCAGAGCAGGTGCGAGCTGCAGTGCGGGGGCCCAGACCTGACAGGAGGCCTGGAGAGGCTTAGGGACCTGGCCCGGAGGGCGTCTGGGAGGGACAGGAGTCAGTTTGGGAACTCGGAGTTCCCGTGCCTGCTGTGTGCTTACGGTGGGAAGAGGGGAAAGCTGCAGCCCAGATGGCGGCAGGGGGCCAGCAGGGAGGGGGCCAGCAGGCGTCAAGGACACCCGGGGCCGGGGGCCCCCAGCCGGGAGGGCTTTAAGGCACACAGTCCCTTCAGGGGACTTTGCCCCACGCTGTGGGAGGAGAGCAGCGCCAGCAAGTCCCCTGCTGTCCCCTGCAGGGCGGGCGGCTCCTGGGAGCATCAGGGAGCCACCCTCTGCAGCCACGCCCCCGTGCCTTGGGCCTCCCTCCACAAACGAGGACAGGGTGGTGGGGACGCCCTGTGGCCATCTGGACACCCCCCTTCGAGCACCCCTGACCGGCTGGTGTACAGGAACCCAGGCTGGCTGAGCTGCCAGCCAGGGCTGTGCTCAGGTCCTGTCTCTTGAAGGCAGAGTTGGTGTCACCACCCCCACACGCGCTCTGACTCATGCAGCAGAAATCGTGAGGGTCAAGGAAATGGGTCGGGCGAGCAGGGCTCACCCCAGCTTCTGTTCTGGGCACCTGAGGGGAGGGTGCCCATGGAGGGGAGGGACAGCGGGGCATCCAGGCCGGCGACCTCAGGCCTCACATCCTGAATCCCAGGGCCAGGTCCACGTTCCCAGCCAGACTCGGGGCAGGGAGCTGACAGCCCAGGGCCAGCTGTCCTGGGCGGGTCGGCTGTCGTGCTGGGTCTGCGTGGCCGTCCACACAGCCTCGCCGTGGTGCAGCCTGGCCAGGAGTAACGGAGGGAGCCTCCAGGGCCAGCCCGAGTTCCTGCACTCTGTTCCCCGCCCCCCCCGCCAAGCAGATGTAGCAGATGCAGTGATGTTTGTGCTGCCCACGGACGCGGTGGATCAACGGCCCAGCTCACCCTGCCTGTAGCTCCAAGTCAGCGGCTGTAGGGCAGATAGGGACTGAGCCTGGCCCAGGTTGCCAACCTCGTTTACCTGCTGGAAACGCTTGCTGGGCTTTTAAACTTGCTCAGCTGGGTGCAAAGCCAGCCTCCTCAGCACTGCTGCCCCGGGCTACCAAGAGTGGTCACCTTGCTAGGGCTCAGCACTGGCGCCCACAGCCCATGTGGAGGCTGCAGCGCAATGGGAATGGAAATGGCGCCGTCAGCACTGCGGACCCCAGCCTTTGCCGGGACACAAGTGCACAGGGACAGCGGGGCGGAGGGAGGAGGACGTTTGCTGGGGACGCCCTTGCTGGGGCAAGGACTTCGCTTTTTATAATGCTCCTTAGATGAAATGAAGGTGCCTCCGGGAGAAATAATTCCTGCCTGTGATTCCAGTCCTCCCGCAGCTGGCATCCCAGCCTCTCACCCGCAGGGTATGCTGCTCCTTCGTCCCTGGGACCCATCCAGGGTGCAGATGAAAGGTGCCCCTCTCTTCCCACACCACCCTGAGCCGGTCCCAGGGCCTGAGCCTGTCCACTGCAGACTCCCTTAATCCTTGTGTAGCTGGGCCTACATGGACAGGGCTTGACCCTGTGGCACAGCTTCCAGGAGCTGCACTGGACCCCAGATGCAGAGCTGGGGCAGTGATGCAATGTAGATATGACCCACCCACCACAGAGCCTATACTGTCCACACCGCCCTGTCCACACTTCCCTGTCCACGCTGCCGGGTCTACACTTCCCTGTCCATGCTCCCCTGTCCACACTGCCCTGTCCACGCTGCCCTGTCCACGCTGCCCTGTCCACGCTGCCCTGTCCACGCT